CATTTATAACTCGGTGAGCAAGTGGAAACCAAGTGTATAATTCAGTGAGCAGCCATTTAATTAACTCCAACTCTTTCACATGTATGTGGGGTCCACAATGAGATCTACATTGTGAGATCCACACATATGTGAGAGGGTTGTGTACGAAGATGTGTAATTGTGTAAGTGTAGCAATGTTCTTGTTTATATGCCTGTTTGTCAATCGTCATGCTTTAGCTCAGAATTGATGAATTAATGGTCACTTAACTTGAAATTTCAAATTGGTAGAATTTAATTTAAATCAAACTCAAACAATCAATATTAATAATATATTTTACGGGTCCTACGACCTTTTAACCGCACATTTCAAAAAAAATTTTATTATCAAAATCTACTAAAAATTCAATTTTAATTCCCACAAAAAAGGGCTAAATAGTAAATACCAATGTTAAACAATATTATATAATTGATCACTCTAGCAGTATTGACTTCATATCTAACGTCGGGCTAACAATCTTTGTGTATCTTTAAAATAAAACGTGATTCTTAGTAGAACTACATAGTAGGCCAACAAATCTCAAATTGCTTCATATAATATAATCACAACCCTATTTGTTGTCATTAATAAATAATAATAATAATAATAATAATAATAATAATAATAAATTATTGCGATAAAGCTAAAACATGATGCCATAGGCATGGGTGGAGCCACCTTAGATCCAATGCAGGGAGGTGCTTGCACTGAACTTCAGGCCCATAAAATTTAAGAGATATAGAGAGAGGAAGTTAAGTGGGATGAACACTTTAAATTCTGCAAGAAAAATGAGTGGAACTGTTGATAAATGAGTAAACTGGTCCACCAAATTAAGCAAATTATTCCACCACTGAACACATTCGCAATCTTCTAATTTTGGAGATTGCTTGTGTGAATTTTCATTTGACGAAATATTTGGTTCAAATGCTGCGATTTTTGTGAACACAAATTGTCTATTAATTATTGAGACGAACTGAGGTAAAGGTTTCAAGATATTACTTTCTGTGATTTTTTGCTGCGATGCACCCTCCCTTCTTTTAGAGTACATACCTTCTTGTTTTATTAAGCTTCGGGTTTATAGATTAGTTAAGAACAAATTGAATGCATATTGCATACAATAATTTAAGGACTCAAATTTAAAGTTGGTTTTAGGTCACAAAAATTCAAAGTTCAATCTTCATTAAATTGTGCCCGCACTTGACAAAAATCACGGCTCCTCCCCTGACTAGAAGTGTGTGGGGCAGTAGGACTTGGGAGTAAGTATATTCACTGGGAATGGTGGGGTTTGTTAAAAGATGTGTGATATTTTGGGGGTCAATTTGTGAAAAAAAGAAGAGGAACATAGCGTGGGCAAGTGAAAAGAAAAAAGATTAAGCAGCTAAAGAACAATTTGATTTGAAAAAAAAAAAAATTTGAAGCAGGCACGCAGCTTAAACTAAATTTCATCGCAAACTCCATCGGTTCATAAACCAGATTCAAGAATTTACCCACTTGCAGGCCCATAAATTGTCAAACAACAGTATAAAAAACATCTTAAGACATTCAAATAGGAAGAAGCATGGGCGGACACAAACTTTTTATGTTGGGGGGGTACAATCAAACTTTCAACAAGTAACGAAAAAATTAAAGTAAGAGACCGAGAGTCGAGAGAGACGGAGGGTATTGGAGTGGCGGGAGAAATGAAGAAATGAAGAAGTTAGGGACTAGGGTTAAAATTTCTTCTCATTTTAATCTCATTTTTGGCCAAAATTCATTTTACTACATGAATACAATTGGACACGCCAACAATGAATCTGACTTGTGTTAGACTGATATTTTCAATTGAATATTACCGTTGCCTCACAATTCCGATTTTGTCCTAATTTGAAAGTGTAAATTCCAATTGAATATTGAAGGCAAATTTCATTCCAATTGAATTTGAAAGGGCATTTGTGGGATACAAAATAATGTTAACTGCAAAGTGTCATGTCTTGGCTGCTGCTATCAGCCAAAAATTGAAGGAAATGGTACCTAGGGCCCACAACTGTTGGAAAATGGATGGAAAATGGGAATGGAATGGGTTTTTTTTTTTTTAGAAAAAAAAATTTCCCAAAATCCTGGGGGGGCACGTGCCCCCCTAGGTCCGCCAGTGGGAACAAGGGAGTTAGACTCACAGACATGATGATACCGTGAGAGCCAAATAAGACAAAAAGAGAAAAACAACAAAATCAAAATAGAGATCTGACCTTTCCTCCGTGTATGTGTTTTCCGTCGGGAAGTAAGAGTAACTGGAAGTGTGTGGGAGTAAGGATTTTCGGTGGGAACGATGGGTAAAAGATTTGTGAAATTTTGGGGGTCAATTTGTAACGAAAATTAAGAAAGTCTGGAAGCTTTGTTGGAGAAGAGAGATATTTGGACATTTGAAGAATATTTGCTAATATTGAAGAAAATATTATGGCATGATTTGGAGAATATTGGTTGATGATAATTGGAATGTTTCCATAATTTATTATATTTCTTCCGTGATTGTCTCATCTTTAATAAGGCAACATTGTTATAATATGACTATATATATATGTCATTGTAACACTTCGGATATAAGTGAATATAGTTTTCTCTCTTCTCCTGTGGATATAGGTTTGCCACATTGGCGCCGAACCACGTAATTCTTTGTATTCTTTCTTATATATTGAATTCTTTGTGGATGTATTGATCCGGCCAACAGTTCGAAAAAAAAAAGGGAAAGCCGAAACGAATTTTTTCTCTTCAGATTTTTTTCAATTTTGCGCGACCTCCACGAAAACGGTTGTATCTTTTAAACAGAAACTCGGAATTGTGCAAGGTCGGTGCCGTTGGATTCGTATCGTTCGTATCTAGCTAGTTACCTTTCGGGCTATTTCAACAACGTTTGGTGGATCAAAATCGCCCTCAAAGTCAGCTGTTCGTGTTTTTTCAATTTTTTTGCAGTTCGAAGTTTCTTTTCGGCCTATCTCTGCATTTACAATGACTGAGAAAGCCATTAATTCATTTATAGTGATGGAGAATGATGTTAATCCTGGATGGAAATTATCTACCGTTCTCTTGAATGGTATAAATTACATACCGTGGTTAAGAGTCGTGACATTATTTCTTGGTGGAAAGAAAAAAGTTGAGTTTTATCAATGACACTTCTACTTGTCCAGATTCTGCAGATCCAAAGGACGAAGGGTGGATTTTGAATGATCAACTCGTTAGGTCTTGGCTTCTAAATTTAATGGAATCACATATTGCTGAAATATTTGCCTTGTCAGATTCGGCAGAAGAATTGTGGAATTCGGTTAAAGAGCTTTACGAAAATCAAAACAACGCTACTAGAATTGAGTTGAAACGGGAAATTGCTGCTGCTAAGTAAGGGGATAAGTCATTCATTGAGCATCTTGGTTATCTTAAGAAGAAGTGGGACGAATTGAGCATGTATCGCCCTCATACAACCGATGCAAAAATCTTGTTGAAAATGGTCGAAGAAGATAAGATATTTTCTTTGCTGAGTAGTTTGAAGCCGAAGTATGAGAATCTTAAGAGTCATATCCTTATGAATTCTACCATGCCAACCTTCTCTAGTGTGTGCGCAACTATGCAACGAGAAGAAACTCGAAAAAAGACTTAAGAATTTTGAACCGAAGCATATATCTGAGTCAACTGCTCTTATTGTAAAAAGAGATGAGAAAATGAAAAACTTTCAGAACAAAGGAAGACGAGAAGCTCCAAAATGTGATCACTGTCACATGCTAGGACACTCTAAGAACCGTTGTTGGGACCTTCATCCTCATCTTGAGGCCTTAAGCCATCCACTATGAATTTTGAAAAGTATGCTAAACCATATGCTTGTTAAGACATAGTTGAACATAAATAAATAATACAGATGTGGAATAAAATCTCAATTTATATCAAAATTAAGTCCAAAAAATAAAATTTAATTTATAATTTGGAAAGGTTAAAAACTTTTCAAACTCTTCACTTCCAAATATGAATCCATAAGAATCATTTGGAGTTGTAAATATTCAATTTATTAGTCAAGTTTTAATTTTTACATCACATGGAGACTAGTATCATGAACAAGCACAAGGCCTGCATTCACAAGTACAAGTTTTAATTTTTACACCAGCAGCATGATACATCTTCCAGAAGTACATGGCAAGAGATGTATTTCATTTTAAGCCCACCCCAGTCTGGGAGTCTCAACCACCCTGAATACGAGGTATCATTCCTAGTTCTAGTCCAGCTGTTTTGTCCAGTCAAAAGGTTCCCAATCCTGAGCAAAACTTGCAGCAGCTTGCTTCTGCGTTTCCACTGATTCATGCTTCCGACGGCGATGCATGTCCTCGGCCGGCAGACGTAGCATACCTCTTATTACATTGAGCCCAAAGCTGCTCTTAAATTCTTTCTCGTCGTCAATTACATGAACAAACCCCCTTTGCAATCCAAATTCAACATGGAAATACGGGAAATTCTTGGGGATTGAACCTCGCAGACCCTTTTCACTTGTATCAATGAGCTTCTTTGCGTTGTGTTGACTCCATTCATCTTCAGCTTCATCGATTGCCTGCAGTAACATGTTAGAAACTAACAAGTTGGCGTACCCAGAAAGCAAAAGCAAAAAATAAATTTACACGAATTATTTGAACTTATTTCCAGTTTCAAGTTCTTCGTACAAGTTAGCAATTCCACAGTTACCCTTCATACTTTGATCATAATCAATTTTTTAAGCAAAGGGTACTCATCAGGGCAGATTTTGGACAATGGTTAAAAAAACATACAAATACAGATCAGTAGGCGACATTGAACAATTTTTGAAAATCAGAAAGTCCTATATATGGTAAATTCGAAAAAGAAGCCTAATGTGGATCCTTCTCACTGTCATATATTATGAATCGACATTAAATTCAATGGTATATGTTGTAAAGATGGGAGTAGAAGTTTAAATGCATGTTTGGGGAAGGGATTAAATTTAAAACCTAAACGATTATAAATTCTGAGTCCTACGGAATGTGTGGATAATAAGTAGGTAATAGTTGTGCGTCCTAGGGATAAGAAGCGTGTTAGATTAAAATTCACTTCCCAAACATGCATTAAGAGGTATTTGCTTTCAACATTAAAATTCGGGTGATAACGATCAGGAAAAATTATACACGAGAGCAAAAATGAGACAGCTTTACCTTCTTGAAGTAAACAGGTGCCTGCTTTGCAATTTCTTGGGGCACAGGAATGCACTCTACCAAACAATGGCGCCGCTGCTGTGCCAACCCCATTACTGTCTCAAGGAATACTACATCCTTCTCCTGATTTTTAAACATCATTATTAGGCATTTCTTGAAGTTCCGAATTTCATCCCACACATTATCATCAACAGATCTCGTGGATGATTCATGCTGTTCAGGCGAAAAGTAAAAAATTACGGTTACTACAAAAATGATGACATCGTCAATAAAAACAACAGGTAAACTATGTTAGCAGCACAAAACTAGAATCGTCTACTTTTAATCTACCATTAACCGATTTAGGCACTCAAATCACAAATTTATGTTCCATGTCTGCAAAGCAATTGAAAACAATATTTATTATCACAAATGTCAGCGGAGTAATAATTTCAGATATATAAAATAGAGTTATTTGCATTTTTCAACATAATTCAGGGGCCGATAGTTCCTGCATGTAAGAAAAGAGTAATAACTTTATAATGCTTGAAACGACATTTCACAATAAAGTCATTTTTCATCCAGAGACGAGTTAATATGAATAAGATGTAATTTTGAAAAAACAAAAAAAATTGAAAAAGTGGATATTTATTTAGACAGAAGATACAGGTTCACCTGCAACGTTAAAATGCAACAATGACCCGGGACAACAGGCTGCATTTGAGGTAATGACAAGTAGGTAAAGTTTGCAATAGCAATGACCAGATGCTTAGGTCTTGTTGGATTCTCAAAGCAAAACTGACAGCGCTCTTGCTGCGTGAAGAAGCGGTTTGCCGAATTAGATATCTCACATGATTTATGATTGCCTCCCCCTCCTTTCTTGCGAGGTCTTTTCCTTGGACCATCATCATAATCATATTCATCATCTGCCTGGCGGGATTTGCTATACTGATGATTACGCATAATTGTTTGAGCTAGATTCAAATCAGCATCCTCTTCTTTCTTCTTTCAAAATCATATTCATCATCTGCCTGGCGGGATTAGCTATACTGAAGATTACGCATAATTGTTTGAGCTAGAATCAAATCAGCATCCACTTCTATCTTCTTTTGTTGGGCAGAGACATCATTCATAATATACCTTCGTAAAGTGAAAAGGCAGTGAAATGAAACAAGACAAACAACAAGGACAACAACCACACCTAACAATTATGTAAAAGAAAAATCACCTGCTAGTAGTCCCATCAATTTGTGGTCTGCTTGACTCATTACCAACAACCCGTGTAGCTTTTATTTTCTCAGCTTCTTTCTGATTAAGAAAAGAGAATGTGAAGATTAGACTACTAAAAACAAAACAACGCTCTAGCTAATCATCAAAATGGAAATTGAGGACAAATCACTACTTTAACACTACCCATCCTTGCATTTATAAGAAAGAAAAAGAGAAGCCTAACGCCAAAAAATGAGGAGAATACTCCGATTTCTTCAAATGGAGGAAGCAAGAAGTAACAGTGTTAACCACGCACTTGATTACAGTTTGCATTATCACCATATATTAACATAAAGAAAAGCACTTGATGACGAATTTGTAGAAAAAAATATGGGAAATGATGATTACGATAACGTCACAAAATGAGGCAGATAATGAATGGAAGTTTCTCCACTAAAATTCACCTAGAACATGCATTAGAACTTAGCAAAGGCATTCTCCAGCTTCAATGCAGCTTATAGGAAGTAAAACCAATTGAAATTAAGAAATACTGATAACACTTGCTGCATTGCAAACAATTTGTTTAACATCAATCTTATCTTCAATAAACAAATATGATACTTCAACTCTAAAAAATGTAACAATATCATTGCAATATTTGCTTATCTTATAATTCTAACACAACTATGTTCCGATTTTAATCGAACACACACACAAGGTAAAAAGAAAAAGAAAAGAAGAGAAAATAGGTTGCATTTCCATTAACCAGCCCTGAGTTATAAAGTAGAAAATCATGGTACGAAATGGGTTGCTAACATAAATGTTATCCTGTTGGACAGAAAAGTACATGGCTAGAGGGCAAAAGTCCATATTCCTCCTAATACAAGCACCAAATAGAAGTTTGATTGATAAGCACCGCAGAAGAATTTCTCATGCAATGATGGGAGGTCTGCAAATTTTACTATATCTATTATGAGAACGAAAATCATATTTTTATGAGAATCACCCTCTAGAAAACTGAAAGTTCTTTAAACTACCGAGTCAGTGGCCATTGGCCAGCCCAAGGCTCCTGGCATAAAATCTTTCAATTTACTCAGGTGATCTAGTGGCTGTTCTGGAGGAAAAAGTTTTGGTAATACATGATCACCCTATTACAATAGCCACTCTACAATGCAAGACCAATTTGGATACCACATGTCAACGATCAATGAAATAAAACGAAAAGGCATATAGTTCGTCTAAGATATTTCCTATCCAAATGAGAATATCCCAGATTACAGGAGCAAAGAAGTGTGGGACCCATGGGTTAACAAGTGTCCAGAACCACAAGAAGATGGAGAGATGTAATGTAAGTTTATGCTTCCAGGCATTTTAAAGAGCCAGAGCAGCAAGTAATTGGGACACAGAAGATGTTCAATGAACATAAAGTGAACGGAAGAGAAGATGAAATTGGTTCCTACCAAAAGTTTTTCAGCTTCTTCATGCTTTCCTTTCATACGGAGTTGCAAGGCTCTAGCAGCCAACTGATTCGCACTCACCGCTGGCTTCACAATTGATGTGTCTTCTTTAGATTCCTCAGATTCGTACCCAACTGATTTTGGTTCAGCTCTTTCCTCAGACTTAGTACGTGAAGAATTACTGAGATCAACAGAATTATCATTCTTCTGACACGCAAATTTATGCATGAAGCTTCCATCATTATCAAATGTATTTAAGCTTGACATAGCAGCAGAGACAAGAGCAGAATCCTGAGTTGACATACTTTGATTTCTCCGCTTCCCCCAGGATAAAGAATCTCGAACTTTGGGCACTCTCATTCTAGGATGCTGAGGGGTAACATCCAGTGTGCTTTTCCGATCAGAATTCTGATAAAACAAAATCCATTAGTTGGCATGACTAAAATCATCACATCTCTAGCAAGCTATTTTTATCTCATTCTGAAGAAAACAAAAAAAAGATCGACATAATCTTGGGACAAGAACTAATTTATGTAGCCAATCATTCAGAGTGCACTCCTTTCCCCAGCTGGGCTAGAAGAAAGGACACTATATACCAAGTTTTCAGCTTTCTTCTGATAGTAGCCGAAAATAGATTCAGAGTAAATAGAACATTGACCAAAGTAAATATTTAATTGCTATATTAAAGTCAATTCAAATGGAGGATTACCTTCTCAACAGAACTATTATTTTCATTATTTATAATTGTCCTTTCTTCTTCAATTAACTGTTTCTTCCTATTTCTTATAGCATGAAGATGAGCATGAATTGGTGCAACTGTACGAGAAGCCACAGAAGCTGCAAATTGACCCATAGAACCCCAACGCTCTTCAACCACCTGTGAGGAAACAAGTTTGTTATTCACTACTAGGTAATAGTTGAATTAACATTCGAATTAGAGAGCCATATGTACATACCTCCTCAAGCTTCCGTCCTTCACGAGCTGCTTGCTCTTGGGCTCTCTTCAAAGCTTTTAGCCTCCAGCTGGCACCTCCATCGCCAACAACTGCAGTTGATAAAAGGTGGCTCTCAGACTTTACTCCATCAGACTCTTCTGGATAACCACTCCCATCATCTTTCAAATATGGATTTAATTCTCTAGGATTCATTTTCTTAACCTGGACAATTAGTCAAAAAAAAAAAAAGAAAAAATGATTTATACACATAAATCACCAGGCATCCAACTCAGATAAATGCTATATCAATACTATTACCTTAAGAAATCAATTGAACTAGTAACAGATATATAAATCACAAAAGTAAAGGCAGCAGCAGCAACAATTAAAAGCTTTATTCCCAAGAAATTTGGGACGACCGATACGAATCTTTCTTAGCCAATGCGTTCAGTGAGTTGCTACATGTATTGGAAAAACCAATGGTATAAATTCTTCATATCCATATTCAGCATGTTTACTTTGGTCTATCACTCACTAACTCGTTGTACTATGTTCATTTTACTCCTGTGTACAGGAGCTTCTAACCATCTACACAAGACAACTGTGCCCTGATCATTTCAATTTTTCTAGCAACAGTATTACAAACACTGAAACTTGCCTAATATGGAATAGATACAGACCTGGTAACATTACATGGTCCCAAATTAGGGCGAACCAACCGATTCTCCATGCTCTTCATTAAATATGAAACAAGCAGGTAACATCTTTTAAAGCATTAGATTTGTATTTACAATATTCTGAACACTGAGACTGTTGGAACTTGTAAAATCCAATAGAAATGCACAGTAAGTGCTGACATGGCAATAACATCTTGGACGTGATATTAGAAGTGGTTATGAAGTTCTGAGGAAATTTTTTAGGAAATCTTCATGGTATTCTCTTATCTTAGTTATTATACACCCCCATAAATCAATACATAAACAATACAGAAAACACATGTTTCAGGTCTGACCTCACTAATAATCATTCCCAGATTGCACTCATTCTGCCTCTTTCGTTTTTGTCTGGCCCTTTATACTAGTCTGACACCAATTTGAAAGCTCTATGAACCACATACAGTCTCTCTTCAGATCCTTGTGAAATTTGCCCATGTTTGAGCTCGATTATTTGAGAATAGATTTTGTAAAAAGTGAACTTTAGGAGAGAATACAGTTAAAAAGTAAGGAAAAATTTTGTGTTTACGTGCAAAATTATTTTAATGGGAGAATGTATCGTTAAAAATGAGTTTTTAAAGAATGGAGCTCAAATAGGGCCTTAACATTATACGACATCCAGAGTTCCAGTCTCCTCCATCTTTCCCTCCCAAGAAAATATTAAATGGGAAAGTCATTTTTCAACACCATTTTATTTTCATGGAACCCAGTATCAACACACTCGAATCAATTTATAAAACTATAGAATGAACACCACAGTAGAAATAAATGCAAAAATATTTACTTGTGTAATATCATTGGTTTCTTTATTTCTTTGTTTTTGTGTTTTTTTTAACTTGAAAATAATGTGGTAATTTAATCCTAGTGAAGATCAACCTTTCACCTGTACATTCAATGGAATCACAAGATCACGCATAACATAACATTTTTTCCCTTTTTTTAATAGTGGAAGGTATGGCGGGTTACATTTAAGAACATGGGGACATATAATCCAGCCATGGTATCACAAAAATTTGGGAGTTCACCTCTTCAGCTGAGGCTTCCTCTAGCAGCATGTCAGAAGCTTTGTCAGAAGTCTTCTCAGTATTGTCCTTAGGCCGAAGCATCCAGTCCAATCCCATTTCTTTCCTCACAATATTGCTGTAGTTTTGCGACAGAGATCCTTCACCATCATCTGATATACATGACAGAGAAAATTGACTCCTACAAAATGATAAGAGTACTAGGAACACTGAGGAATTAAGTTCCAAATAGAACAAATGATGAGATACATACCATACAAGTCACTATCCATGGTGTCATCCTCGCCTCCCCTTTTCTTATCCTTCTTCCGACTTCCCCTTCCTCCTTTATGATGCCCCCTTTCCTCGATGGAATTTGCACTTCCAGAATCATATGGTGATCCATCTTCAGACGGATACTGTTTTTTCCGACTCTCGGACTTCTTCTTTGACCGACCCCTAAGTTCATCTCGAGAGCTACCATCATGTTTTTTCTTCTCAATTTTCAGACTTGTACGTTTCTTGTGATCAATCTCGGAATCATTATCACTCCCACTTTCATCTAAATTTGAAGACAAATCCTCATCCGAAGCATACCACTTCTTTTTCTTTCTAGACCCACTTTTTATTCTTTCAAAGCCTTCATCATCAGAACTACTGTAACGCGAAGTCTTCTTTTTCCTTCTATCTTTCTCTTTTCTTCTGCCTGGTTTTCTTCTCTCCTTTTTACTGTCATCTGAGTTTTCATCCTTTGCCTAACAACTACCCAAATCAATACGAGCACATAAAAAACATTCTCGTGAACAGCTAACAACTGGAAAATTATATTCTATTTGTTTTAAATTAAATCCACCGGGCTATAAATTTTATGTTCATAGATAAGTGCCAAAAAACAAAAAAATATTATTAAAAAAAAAAGACAAATACAAGAGAAAAATAGTTTGTTAAAGTTAAAAAAAATAGCTTGTAGACACACACGTGATGTAAAGTAGAGATTCTTACTACATCACATCTAACACCTGCACACTAAAGCCAATCAAGAACACATGTTGTTGAATAATGTAGGGAAACACTGAGTCCTTACTTTATCAATTTGTTCCCGGGGTATAAACTTTAAACCTGAAAGCATGTTTCCTTTCCTGTTGTCACAGTATCAACAGGTCTGCAGCACAATGCCAATTGGTTAACTCTCGTGAACCCCAAAACAAACCAAACATAAGAAAGAAAAAGTGAGCTTATATAAGCCACATGAATTTACAAGTCACTTTTTTTTTATTAAATAACTTGAGAACCTATTATACATATAAATCCAATAATGCCTAGCGGAACTCAAAACATAAATTCCATGCTCAACCTAAAGTTATAAAAGCATTTTAAAAGAAAAAGGTCGAATAACACACAGGAGAATTTATAAGTTCAGAACTAACAAATACGGCTATAAACTTACATGGGATTGAAGATCGAAACACAACTCTGGAATTCCATTTGTTGAATTATTTATATAAACTCCTTTATGCCACTAGAATTTATAACTCTTTTTTTTTTATATAAATAACTTAAGAACCTATTACGCATAAATCTCAGAAAGCTAATGGAACTAAAAAATTCAATGCTCAACTTAAAAGTCATAGAAACAAATTAAAAAAGAAAGGTCGAAGAACTAACGAAGGCAGTAAAGAACTATGGGGTTGAACATTGCAACACGACTCTGGAACTAAATTGGATAAATTACATTACATTAACCCCCACCCACAACCACGACTACCATAATTAAAAAAAAAAACCTTCTGATATCACCTCTCTGAAGTTTTTTTTCTAACACGCAACCATCTAACTCGTTAACTGCATTTAAATTATCACCCGCTCATCAAACAATAACCCAAAAAATAAAAATTTTAAAAAGGTCGCCTAGTAGAAGTGCTAAAACATTCCAGATAAAAATTGGAAAATTGAGATCAAGAGGATTAATAATGTAAAGATTCCCATCCCATTTCCAATAATTGGATCCCATTCCAGACCTCTCTTCCCCACTGTCCTAAAATCCATGAATCTCAAACTATAATGAAGCCAAATTACATCCCAGTTCCAGCCTCCACGAATTGACTACTGACAACCTCAAGAAAATCAAAAGGCCCCTAAAATTCACGAACTTAAATCATATTAAGTCATGTCATCCCCTTAAATTTGTAAAACCCGAAATTATCTATTCAGATTCGGCATGACCCCTAATATCCAGAAAAAGCATCCCTTCACATCCAGGACTCCAATTCAAAGCAACCCACGCAATCAAATTCACTACAGAGACACCCCTCCACAAATTTTGAAAATTGAATAATTTTTAAGCAACTAAAAAAAAAAAAAAACCCAATTCACATTTCACACCGGCATAAACAGCAGTAAGTATAAGGTCGAAAAGCTCGGAATATAAATTAAGAAAATGAACAGGATAAATTCGTAGTAAAACTTGCCTGATAGCGAGTAAATTATAGGTTGTCTAACTGAAGAACCACGGTGGAGGAGGACGAAGGCAGTAGCTGGGGCGTTAGGATAGAAGGGTGTGCTTCAGGCGGATCTCTCCTTCGACCCGTCGGGTCCTAATTCTTTTCAACACTGGTTTAAAGCTCGTCCACCGCCTTTTGGGTTGTAAAGTGATTATTTAGCTGGCCCTTCTCCTCCTTTTGGGCTATCCTAGGCCCAGACATTCATTTTTTGTGGACCATTTTCCATTGGATCACTTTATGGCCCACTTACAGCCCAAAAACCATTTATTTTCGGCCAAGTCCCACAAACCAAGGTTTAAAAAGGCGAAACTAAGTATTGAGGCGGTCTTTTTTTATGAGGCGAGGCGTAAGCCTCGAGGCGGATTGAGGCATAAGCCTCATAAAAAATAAAAAATCTAAAAAACCCCCCAAAAAAAAAAAAAAAAAAAAAAAAAAAAAAAAAAACAGATACGAAGTTAGAAATCACTCCATTTGCAATGGAAAAAAAGAACCAGCTTAAACTAAAAAAAAAAAGCCTAATAGTCTGCACTATCATCACTATTACTAGCATCGTTAATGGACTCATCATCCTCTTTAGAATCAAAGGATCTTCACCTTCTTTAAGTGACTTCAATCATCTATGCCGTTTAGTTTTCTAGGTATTTTATTATTTTGTTTGGGCCCAAATTGCCTTTTTAAATGGGTCATTTTCTTTTTTAAGAAGGCCCTTTCTAATTTCTTTTCATACAATTGAAAAATCAAATTTTAAATGAGCACACGCCTCATGCTCCAAGGCACGCGTCTTAGATTTAGAGGCGTGAGCCTCATATTTTTAGCCTCAAAAATACCGTCTTAAAGCATACTACATGCGTTTCACAGTGAGGCGGGCTTCAAGGCGAGCCTCACTACTGCCTTTTTAAACCATGCCATAAACAAGCGCTGTTAGTATGGACTTCATAAATCAATCCACTTTCTGTCTAGCCCACCTAGACTACTTTTACAGTTTAGTTTATTTGGAGAATTGCATCATTTGTCACTACCTTTGTAGCAGTTTGGTCCCCAACCTATTTTTTTTTATAGCGAGCAAGAACGGAGCAACCGCCCGTGTTGGCTCCATGAAAAAAATGAATATATATATATTGGACGACCCATACGCAGGCGAGCGGTTTGAACCTACGGAAACCCCTCACCGTTGCGCGAGCTGTCGTAACGGACGACCTTTTTTTCTTCAATGGTCAATAGCTACTCTAGTTCACTCGAATTTCTAGATCTGCTTCTGATAGCGAGTATCAACCTTTTAAGTTCGTAGCATCATCGATCAATATTGGAGTTAAAATTTCAATTCTTTTTTTTCGGTTTAACAAAGTATATATTATTAATTTTCACTAAAATCATACAATAAAGAAACAAAATGAATATGAAAGTAAAAAAATTAAGTATGAAAATGAAAAATAGAAAAGAGTAAGATGTGATTATGCTGGCAAATACTTTATCTACCCTTCACGACTATGAATGTACTTTTACTTCATATAGAATAAAGTAAAGTACATGTATTTTGCTCATTTAGCGGGTTTATACTATTCTTAACCTTTTATACTTTAGTTTATAAAATGTATATTGCAAGTGTTTGGAGTCAAGAGTCTATAACTAGTATTTGGGACAGAGGATCAACATTAATCTCCGGCTATCTACTTCATAATATATTTCTCTTGATAGTATAAGTGATATTATTTAACTTCACTTGTAATCGTAATCTCAGTATTTGCAAGCCCCCATCCATTCCATGTGACCCCAAATAGCCACCCCGGACCCAGGAAATTATTCCAGTGCGGGCGGTATTAAAAAAAAAAAAAAATTATAACACAAACATTATACTAAAATAAAATACCTCACAATTGTTCTTTACGAGTTTTCATACTTTGATATCTTTGTACAATCGCCACATTATCAATATTTAAGAATATATCTTTCTCCACATAAACAATAAGGCTATCATTCATCCACTCATTAACATTTTCCGCAACCTCAAGAATTTTCTTTTATAAAATCTTTCAATGTCTGACAGGAAAAATAGGAATTGGAATTTGAAATGTAAATAAACAAAAAGTAATATGGAATTTATAGCAAGACAATTTCCAGTCCAAGTTAAATTAGTTTTATTTTCCCATTTCTTTTATAAACATTGTAATTTGTAAATTAGTTTTATGGTGTGCATCTTCCACTGGATGGATTAAACATGGTATTTTAATCATGCTATTTCCTGTGCAAGTTAAATTAGCAGTTATAAACATGGTATTTTATACTTCCCTTTCCCGATGGATTAAATCACGTTCTTCATTTGATTTCAAGAGGCTAACAAATTAATTCAACCCACATACAGAACTCTAAAAAGAATGGTTCAAAATTTTCCCCAACAACCGGCAACCAAAGCAACAAAACAAACAGGCAACAGCCACAGCCAAAGAACAATTTCCAGCACACAGAATTTTCCCCCTTTCCTCCCAGCCACTGCCCTGCCCACTGGTTCAAATTTTTCCTCAACAACCGGCAACCAAAGAAACAAAACAAACAGCCACTAGCCCCACAGCCCACATAATTTTCCCCCTTTCCTCCCAGCAACAATAGCACAATAGCAGTCAGCAGATGGAATTTATAGCAATAGCACAATAGAAAATAGAAATTATAGAAAACTTACCTACGCTGGCTGTTGCCTGCTGGACGTGCGTGGATGGATGCAGGGGCCGGCGACCGACGATGGCGTGGATGCAGCCTGCAGCAGGGGCGTGCGAACCAGGGTGTATTCCTGTTGCAGAGGCGTGCGTTGCAGGAGCAGCCAGCACTGCAGGGCTTCTATTTTATCACATTTTTTGGGCCAAATAATTGGCCCAGTTTTTTTTTAAGTATTGGCCTGCGTTGGGTCCGTCCCGTTCCTTGGACCTTGCCCTCTATTGCAATCTCAAGTTAGACCATTGACAAGTGCATTTTGTACTTCTACTTACTTTATGTTCTATTTGACTTTTGTAGGTTAAATTCTCAATTTGAAGGAAAATAAAATAAAAAATGAAGTATAATTGAAGCTTAATTTGGATACAATGTATTTAATTATCAGTGACGGACGCAGACATTTTGAGATAGAGGGACATAATCAAACTTACAATACTGATAAGAAATGCTGTATTTTAATTGCAAACATTACTATTTGTTTGGAGGTTTAGGTTCCTTGGAAGCCTGATTATGAAGGTTAAGGCTCCCTCGAAAGATTTTATTTCTTCTTTTAAATCTCTTAATAGATATGTGACGGTAACAAAAAATAACAATTTAATAGACACTAAAAATAACGCATCTACTTTGACTACAACTTGTAACAAAAAAAACCCTTTGAAAGTTGAAACAAATCAGTCAAACACTGCTATGGCATAACCATCCATTCTTACCCTTTTGTACTTTGACATCTAACAAATAAGTGCAAAATTTCTTGTGCGCTAACTAAACCACATTCAAATTACACAACAAATATTCTTTTATTCAACCAAACAAATTAGGCAATAGTGGATAACGAAGGTGGCCCAAGAAAAATTAGCACATAAGAAATATTTGTTGTGAATAGAAAATTAAAATTGACTAATACTGATAATCGGGGATTAAAATA